GTGAATAATTTGTCTGTCAAAAAATAAACCATTTTCCTGTATACCACATTTGTTAAGTGACTTGAATTGATTGTCAGCAAATGCAGATTGATTTTTAGGTTGGAATTCATCATGAACTGACATCGATTGAAGGAACATTGGAAACCTGGAGCACTGGATAGCTTTTTTGTCCCAGTGTCGGACTCCACAGCAGTGTGCATACATGACCCCGTCCTACAGGGATCGAACCAGGACCTTTTGGTTCCGTGGCCAGCATGTTTCCATTGAGCCACTGGGTCAAAATCCAATGGTTAATTTCCTACCTCCAGATAGAATTAATCTAGCACTCATTAGTGACTAGTTTCGAGAGGTGATTCCGAAGTTGTAATGATAAGTAGTGACCAGCGTAGTCAACCAAGTCGAACATGAGGAGGCAATGAAGACATTGGATGTAAGTCGTGTTATATCGTGAACTGACAGAAGTAGGAAATGTGGACCATTAGGTTCCGACCCAGTGGCCTAATATTAATATGCTGGCCACGGAACCAGGAGAGTTCTGGGTTCGATCCCTTGAGGGCGCACTTCTGATGAGTCGTATACTAGGATGAAACAGCTGTCCAGTGCTCCAGGATTCCAATTTATTTCCAACCGATGTCACTCTATGATGAATTCCAACCTAAAATTAATTGATAAACCTCCTCAGAAAAAAACATCTCTGGGTAGAGATACAGACTAATAATAGGAAAACATGATTTTTTGACGAGCATCTAACGACAATGAATCCATGAGAACCCTGCAAATCGAATCGTCAGAGTAGAGATTTATTTTATTTCAAAGCAAGAACCAGCGAACATATACCTACAGCCTAGATTAATGTGTTCATCTTCGTGATTGGGATGGATGCGTGACGAGCGTTTCGTCCTATTAAGGATTCACTCATCAGCTGGACGTCCCACTACTTCAGTGAGTGTTGTTACCACTAAGACTCGCACCCAGTACTCATCGTTCCAAACGAATAAAAGGTATCCTTTGGTTCCTAGATTGAATTCATTTGTATATTCTGATGCTATCATATCATTACGGAAAAAAGGAAGGCTGAACTTTAACATTTTTATTATTATTAAGTTTTTGTTAGTAAAACCAAATTAAAAGTTGACAAAGTATTGAGCTGATATGCTTTTTATTGCTAAGATATTATTTTTTAACAAAATCCATGAGTAATAGCCCGTCAGTTAGTAAATGGCTTCCAAATATTTTGAGATAGCTGTTCTCTATCTGACATTTTCGAAACATAGGCTTAAAACCACAATTTTCTATAATTCGAGGTGTAATATTTTCAGACTATGATATGTTCTGCTTGTGTCTGTATTGTTTCAAAGGATATTAAATGCATTATAGATACTAAAGTTTCCTAATTGTAGTGCTGTGTAATTAGAGCACTGTAGTAAACCATACTTACGTTTCAGTGTAGTTAATACAAACCACTGAATTTACAGATACATTTATATTGTTCTATTGTTTTCAGATTTGTTTTTAGAAACATTTGTCGAGACTTTTACTACTTTCTAAATAGAAAACAACCACTTTTAACAGTATAGCTTAAATTTGTCGAAATATAAAAGAAGTATAAATAACATCATTTCAATGAAGTGAATGTATTCAAACAAGTGATGCGCTTTGAATAGTTCATTTCTTGGGCACTCAGTAGTAGTACCGATTGACAGAGACTGTCATCACTTTTTAAAAGTAAAATAAGCCAAACATTAGCTGTAATTTTTACTGAATAACTAATGAGTAGTTTATTTGACGACCGCTAAAAAAATTTCTACTCTACTTTTGAACCACTCCTTTCATATCTGAGTCCAATACAAAAAGAAATCGCGCTGAATATGTTATTAATACACATTTGAAACGGCATTCATCTCAAAGTGACACCAGTTGGTGGATGTTACACTGGAATCAATCAGTTTCCATCATACTGTACATTCCGTAATAGTTATCTATCATCAGAATACTCTTAAAAATGCTTAAGACAATAATGGATATGTTGGTATTCAGTTTATGATTAAAATGAAAGTTTCAACACGTAAAATTTAGTTTCAACTCAGCTACTGAGTTTTATTGCAATGACAATAAGTTGAATTTTGCGGAATAAAGAAGCAAATGAGAAGAAATTTTCTAAAGTTATGTCACAGTATTGGCACTTAACTTCCACACAGTGAGCTACAGGTTGGAAAACGGCTCTGCTAATGCGGTTTCAGCAGCCAGATAGTTTAATTAGCACTTATAAAATAGGTTTGACTGATTGCAGCAGCACAAATATCCACCTGGTCGCTGAGTGCATTTTGGTTCCAGTATTATAATAACAATTACACTCTGTATGGACTCGAGCCCAATACACCTAAATCATATATAAGAAACCTGACAAAGGCAAAACGGAAGAAATTATCACATTATTTATTTAACATTTATTTTTCCCTTGGTTTCCTAGTGGAATATAGGGTGCATGATATCAACAAATGGTTTTCTCAATGTGTATACACAATCTAATCCATCTACACCTTCTTCCGCAAATTTGTTGAGTGATAGGTTATTGCCTCGTCGGTTCATCGACAGACACAGTGACTTCCTTCTTGCTTATTCTTATTATTTTCGCCATCTCATCTCCATATTCAGTATCGAGTGTGCCTAGTTGGCAGCTGTTGATCAACGTCTGTAGTTTGTTGGAAGTGCTTTACGTGACACGCCAAGTTTCTCAACCGTATAGCAGCACTGACTTGAATGGCATTGGTGTTGAAAATTGGGATGTTGTTCTTTATGCTGAGTGCAGTAGATCTCCACACTGATTTCAGATTAGTGAAAGCTGTTTTGCCTCTGTGATGCTGACTACTTTGACGTCCTCATGAGTGCGCCTGTAGTTGAAATGATGCTGCGTGTATAGTTGTAGGTGAAGGAGACAACTTCCTTTAAGTTTCTGGCATTGATGTGATGTGAGGTTGTTGTTATTGTTGTTGGTGGCGTTGTTTGGATATCTTGATCACCTCTGTCTTGTCTACATTGACTTGAAGTCGCGTCTTCGTTGCCTCTTCTGTCAACTTGTTAGTTTTCGCCTGTATATCTTCGAGTTTGTGGGACAAGACATTAGGCATAAATCGTCATCGTTGGTAAAATCCAAATCTTCTTCTGGGGTCGTTTCATCTTTCCGTCGTATGCCTCCCCTCTCGCTCCTCACACTTTGCTGAGTAATTCAGCCTACCACAATGGGGAAGATGATCGGTGATAGTAAGCTGCAGCCTTGTCTTACTCCATCTTCACTTCAAAGCTTTTTCGAAGACAGACACGATTCAGTCAAATAAATCTCTTAAAGAACAAAAGTACTCTGAAATAAAAATTCTGACCGATTCAGAAGATAATCTCACTTTAATCTAAAGTTTGTTGATGAACACAAATTTAATACATCATATAATACTAGCTATTTTTAAACTAGCAATCAAATAATAATGATTAAAAATATTCAGTGCGCAGTTATTGTTTTGTGTAACCTAAGTCGTTATAATGTTGACATTTTTAGCCTGTTAAGAAAAATAAAATAAGCTGAATACAATTATACTTTGTAACTTTGTCCGGGGAATAGATTACACCTATCATAATCTGACTTTCTTATCACACCTACACATAAAGTGTTGTAAGCAATAAGGTGAATAATTTAAAAATTTATATGTTTATTTAAAATAAACTTTATATTTATGTAATATTATTTATATAAAAATCTGAAATGAAAATTTAACTAATAATGACCAAAAATATCAGTTGATATCAAAAATAAATTTTGTGCATTGTAATATATTTCACTCTTATCTGTTTCAGACCACGTGGTCTCATTTTATTCATATTGTAAGATATGTATATATATCCTCATATATATATATATATATAATATATATATATATATATATATATATATAAGCCTCAGAGATACGGTTAGGGTTGTTATCAACATTTGTTTTCAGACCTAGATAAGGGATATAACTTAAAAAAGAATTTTCTACACTATCTTAAGACATCTTGGTCAACAAACTGCCGTTTTTTTTCTCAATTTTTGTATAGTTGACTTTGATACTAATACTATGAAAAGAGAAATATCATGAGGCGGTATATCTCTACTTCAAATCATTTTGATTATTTTCGGTTTGCATTGATTCCAAAATAATTTTTTTTATTAATACTTCTTAAATTAAGGATAGAATGATTGTGGTAAGTAATTATTGGATAGTTAAAATAAAAGAATCAAGTATCCATGTACTGAATGATGACATCATATCATACTAGTAATGAGTAAACTTCTCCTCTGTCACTGAAGTGAACTTAGAAAGAAAATATAACTGAATTTCTCTTAGGACATATTGTACTAGAACAAAGTAACTATGCGGTGTATCTTTAAAAAAAACACTTGAAAATCTATCCTACATTTCATTATGAATAGACTACTGACTTTTCAAGAGATTTATATCCAAAGTCTTTGATTATTAGGGCATATAACAGTTTCAAGTAACCGCTTACTAAGAATCACAGAAGAATCAGCAAATAAAATCATACATTCCATGTTTGTTTGTTTGTTTGTTTTTTCAGTGTATTTTAAACAGACATCATACTGTCATCATTAGATAACAATACGATTATAACAACAAAACAAAAACGAGAACAACAAAATAAAAATACATCCAATCACTGGTTATATGCAGAAATTTATTTATTTTAATTTGTGTGTGCATTTATATATGTGTGTGTGTGTGCAGAATTCAGTTAGAAGAAAATATCCATAGTTTAACATTTATATACTATTCATATTTGTGTGCTTTTCATAATCGTATATGTCTCGTATTCACTGCTGCATCTTTTTTTAAAAATTAGTTTAATTTTATAACTGTTGATTAAAAGTAGTAATAGTAGTATATTTAGACTTGTTTATTTTGTTTGCTCACATTTTATTTACTTGTTTTAGTCATATATTCAAGGTATTTTTATTCAGCATTATTATCTTCATGGAATTTGAACATTGAACCAATATTCCATTGAAATAGACCACGATTAATACGATCCAATTCTTTTATTATACAATGTCTCCATTTCAATTTACGTGCTGCATAACTAAGTGAACTTGGATCTAGTGTATATTCATCATCTTCGTCTATTTTTATATCAGTTCTCTTTTTATATTTATGATCTTCATAGGTTGATTTCATTGCTTTACTACCAAATAAACGTAAACAGTGTTCAGCGGCTTCATCAACTTTTTCTGATGAAAAGTATTCATTGATTAGTGCTTCATTCTCAGCATCAAGCTAGATAAAGAAAGAAATAAAATTAACCAAAATGGATTAGATGAACAGCCGATTTTCGGAGGGCGGGGGGGGGATGCATAACAGTTGATAATATCGTTGATTAGCAACATACTGGTAAGACTAGATTATAATATTAGGTGAATATGATGCTAAACATAAATAAATAAAATACCCACCTTTATGATAGTTACATTGAAGAATAGTTTTTCTGAAAAATGAATTGTAAATTCTGTCACTTCAGAGATAAACTAAGCAAGGTGTGAATTATTTTGATTGTGTTGTATAACGCTTTACAAAGTCTATGTATTATTATTCTCTTTTGCTGTCTTACTGGCGCAGGAAATACATTTCCACACCCATTACTTTGTGTCACATAGACGAAAGTCACAAAATTGTGTCTGTATGTTATATGGCAGACATATAAGTAGGATAGACTGAATTTTTCACTGATTTAACACTTGAGAGAAAGCAGTTTTAACTCTTTAAATTTGTAAATGCCAACCAACTTCCTAGTATTATTCTTCTAAAATATTCACCAAGGCAAAATTCTCATACTTACAATTCATTATTATTCATGTTAAATAATTGCAGGCAGTTTGAGTTCCCTGTTGACTGTTTTCAACCATCTAAAACTCACTATGACAAGGAAATTAAATCACATATAGAGTTTTAAAAAATATCTTGATTTCTAAGTGATATTTTTTCAAAATCCTACCTGAAACCGAAAAATATTTCGGTCGCATTCTAAAATATCGACCGTATTCAGCAATAAACCTTTTCGAGCTAAATAATGAATATAAGTAAGCAGGTAATACTTGTAGGTTAAGTAAGCATACTTAGAAATATAGTAAAAAATAACTGAAAGTAATTTTAGTCTTAGATTTACTGGAAAATATTTATTTGAAGATAATATTCATCGTAGGCTTCCATGTTTTCAATGGTTTTGTAACAGGCGTTAGTTTATGATGAATACTATGTTGAAATAAGTAGAACCACTATGGGTGCAAAGAAACAATATTGTTATAAGATTAAGATGTCACAATTATTTAAAAGCTTAAGACTATGACTCTTTTTTTATTTACAATAAGTGAAAAGAATCATGAGAAAGAAAGTCAACTTTGAATCTATCTATATATCGAAATTTATTTTGAACATGATAATTTCTGAAATATTTTTTTAAAATCTGTTATTTAATTAAATATACTATTCTGGTTGAAATTTTTTTATCTTGACAAGAATTTTATCTAATTAAAATAATAATTTTATTTTTGGTAATTTGAAAATCATTATATGTTTTGTAAGTATAATGAAGAAAAATAAATAAAACGCTATCTAATAAGCATTTTAATAAATAACATTTTTTTCATTTGTTTAATTCTAAAATTAGTTATTTTAAAAGTGAAAGATTGCTAGACAATTGTTTTATTACAGTGTATAGGTATTGATTTATATACAGTGTGTAGCTTAAATGTAAATAATCATTTAGAAATACATCAGAATGTGTTAAAAGTTTTTTGTTTTAAACTACACTTTTCTAGTGGTACAGAACATCACTGATTTAAGCAAATTATTTGAAGAGACATTTATTTTTAAGTAAATAAATAGCAAATTTCTTCTTAACTTCAGTAAGATGGAAAAAGAAAAATGCTCTATTAAATTTAATTTAAACGATAACGATTTAAAAATGATAACCGGAATTAACAAACCATTCAACCGATTAGTATATGATATTTCAGAAAAGTTGTAGCTTCAATACACATGTATCCCTAATCAAAAGTCGAAATTAAATCTCATAAATGAATAACAAGATATTCTTTGATTAAAACAAGTTAAAGAATATAAACTTAACGCTTCAAGTGTTTAACTCTTTAGACATTTTCTGATCAACTCAAAGAAAAATAGTTCAGCAGTATGATTTTGAGTGACTTTCTTTAATATAAAGAAACAACACTGTACATATGCCAGCAGAAATATAAAATAGTTGAACTATTTTAAGAAAATTAATATAACAAATAGATAATGTCTTAATTGCTTATGTAGATAATTTTAAATTATTTGTAATTTTTTTGTCTGTAGAAACAACTACAAACTTCTATGCAAGAAAGAAATAAGTAGGCAGAGTGGCATATTCTTCGAAAATAAATACTATGTCATGATACCAAGTAAACTTAATCCCCCACTGTGTGTACAAAAACAATTTGTTGTTTCACTTAATTTATCTTGGTAATTCTTATCTGATTATATTACGAAGACTAGTGTCACAACCTTTTCATATTCACTATATTTGACATTTAATTTTCATATATAAATTGACTTGACAAATAAATGTGTGATCAGATTGTTCGAAATGTATTGCTCAATTGCATCACATTTTTCAGGTAATCTTCGTCTTCTAATAGCGTTATCGAAATTTATTAAAGGGACTAACTGTTTCAAATTAAAGAATACCTGTTTTTTGTCATTTTTATTCATTAATCAAAAGTTGTTTTTTCTCTTACTTGCTTATAACTCACATGAATTTGTATGTTAATGAATTAAAGATTTATATATCTAGTAGGATTGTGCTCCTATGAGAATAAACTATATGGTATTTAATCATGTGGTAGTCTACTACATCAAAATTTTAGTTATATACTACTTAATAAACGTTTAATTGAATAAATATTTTCAGCAAAAAGTAATAATAGATATACTAATTCTATCACTAACCTGTTTTAAAGAGACACTTTGGCTAACTGGTAAATGTTCAATCATTGAACATATAATCAAGAATTTATCATCTGAATCAAAAATTGCATCATATTTAAAGATTTATTCTTATTTTGTTTTTCTTTCACAAATTAATCAAATTTCTAATTATTATATTATGATTAGACTTAAAATAAACAGATGATTTCTGAAGTAAACGATACTCTTGTTAAATGAAAATAAATTTATTTATTATCAATATTTATGTTGTCTACAATCACTTAAAATTATTTTTCTGTTAACGCATAGTATTTAGATAAAAATGAAATGGACCTATTTATACAGTATTATCAAATTTTGTGATTGGTTGAAGAAATCTATTACTCTTTTTTTTTAATAAAACAAGGATACAAGAGTAACAATATTTAACCATTTCATGAATAAAATAAACACCTTTTTGTTGATAAATAACCAATCATAATGCTTTAATAAAAGTTTATTTTCCCAAAGGCTTACTTGTTCAAAGAGTCAGTTAAATATAATTACAATTAAATGATAATAACAATTATTTCAGAGTATAAGCAATGAATAACATTTCTAATTTATTATTCTGTCTAATTCAACCTAGTAATTATCTAAACATTTGTCATGTTAAATGATAGAAAAACTGTAAATGGCGACAAAGGTTGTAATTCTAAATCTCAATCCTTTTCTTAACTGAACAATGTAGGCATTTTACAATGTTTTTATAGTATTTTGTTTAAATTGCCTTTTAGCATATCGACTAATAAATGAAAGTAAAAGAAAATCCATCATGATTTTTTTTTTTGGGAAAAGTGCCTCGCTTTAACCTGGAGCGAAATCAACCTTAGAACTTGAGCCCAACTATTCACAAAACTGAGTAAAGTTTTTTTCGATAGACTTGGAAAAAAACAAGATAATAATAATAACAGATGTTTTTGACTTAGAATCCTGTAATTTTACATAACTTGAATTAAAATAAAGGTCTGTTGAACCAGACAAGGTAATTTCCAAGTTTTTCGGATAAAGATTTCACAATAAAAACAAATCAGTAAATGAAAAAAAGTGATAAACTTCTTATTCATTAAATTCTTTGCCTTTGAAACTTGAATTTAGAAGACATTTAGTGAAAGAATGTTTCTTCCGGTGCTTACACTTATGTAGATTAGTTTCTTGAGAAGTATCCTTTCATTTGAAGCGCTCACTACAAGCAAATTCCAACGAGTGGACAGAAGAGGCAACGAGGACGCGACTTCAAGTCAATGTAGGCAAGACAGAGGTGATCAAGATATCCAAACAACGTCACCAACAACAATAACAACAACCTCACATCAACATCAATGCCAGAAACTTAAAGGAAGTTGTCTCCTTCACCTACAACTATCCACGCAGCATCATTTCAACTACAGGCTGCACTCATGAGGACATCAAAGCAGTCAGGATCACAGAGGCAAAACAGGCTTTCACTAATCTGAAATCAGTGTGGAGATCTACTGCACTCAGCATAAAGAACAACATCCCAATTTTCAACACCAATGCCATTCAAGTCAGTGCTGCTATACGGTTGAGAAACTTGACGTGTCACGTAAAGCACTTACAACAAACTACAGACGTTGATCAACAGCTGCCACCTACGCTCACTGGATACTGATATGGAGATGAGATGGCCAAAATCATAAGAGTAAGCAACAAGGAAGTCACTGTGTCTGTCGATGAACCGACGAGGCAATAACCTATCACTCAACAAATTTGCGGAAGAAGGTGTAGATGGATTGGATTGTGTATACACACTGAGAAAACCATTTGTTGATATCATGCACCAGGCGAGGTGATGGTGTTGAGTGTAATGGAGAGAGGGAACGACGAGTTTGGCGTCGGAGGTGAGGGTGTTATGGAGGAGATTGTGTGAGAAAGAAATGTGAGCTTGTGTGTATTCGTGGTGTGAGTTTCAAAGACTGGAGAGAGGATGGTGGAATTGAGGTGTGCTACTGTAGCCCTATATTCCACTAGGAACCCAAGGGACAAATAACAAAAACAATGTATGTTATTACTATTTATTGACATAGTTGTTATTCTCCGTTGTTTTGTTGGATCGAAATGCTCGATTTCTATTGCTATATGGGCTCCTATGAAGATACCCCTATATTGCCTGAATGTTAATTGTGATAAACTGGTTGGTTGTGGCTAGCAGAAACACCCGGAAAGTTCGTCATGTCCTATTTGGTACTCGTCGTCTGGACGCACCTGCACCCCAGTGATGTTTTCCCACTGGGACTCGGACCCGCAACCCATCGCTTCAAACGCCAAGGTGTTGTCCACTATGCCACTATACTAGGCGCAACCAACCAATTTATCACAATTAACATTCAGGCGATATCGATGTATCCGCATAGGAGTCCATATGCCAATAGAGGTCGAACAATTCGATCCAACAAAACAGCGGAGAATAACAAGTATGTCAATAAATATTAATAACTACTACCGTTGCACAAGAAGTGGCTATCGTTCCTCCGTAGCATAGTGAATAACGCCTTGGTGTTTGAAGCAAGGGGTACGAGGTTCCAGTCCCAGTGAAACAACATCATTGGGGTGTAGGTACATCCAGCTGAGTCCCAAATAGGACAGGAGGCGCTTGCTGGGTTCTGCTACTAGCCACAACCAATCAATTCATAAAAATGTATGTGCTGTGTTTTTGAGGTTGTATGCATTTAAGCAACCTACTTCAACTGCCTAGTAACAAAATAGTTATATTGTCCTTGACGGGTACTCTAAATACTTCTAACCTCAATATCAGCTTTAACTTTTAGGTGAATTAAATTGGAATCAAATCACTATCTCGGGAATAGTATAAATAAATTGAATCTTACTGTTCAGTTTTCACGAAATATGAGCAATATAATATTGACGTGAATACACACAATGAAAATGAATTCAGTGATAAGACAAAATAACTAGACTTAAACTGTATTTAAGCTGATTTGGTAGATACGTCACCCATTTAAAGCACTATTAAGTGGATCACGTTTCAGACACAAGTTATTATCCATAGCCAAACGGAGATGACTCCATAGGTTTAAGACATGGTTAATACAGTTTTAATTCTCTTGCCTTCTATTGGTTCACTATTTTCATTAATCGACTATTATTTACAAATATCAAGTGCTAAATTCTACACTGGTAACTAATAGTTGTATGTTTTCATTGAAACTGAAAAGGCATTTATATTAAAGTCAAAGCTGTATATAGTGTGCAGTGCTGTAAATTCTTAAAATAAGAAGTGCCTTTGAAATCATCTTATTTCCTAGTCAATCCAGTTGGTATTACCTCGTAGCAAATATGATATTTGTAAACGACGTAAGTATTAAGACATTTACAAAATAAAAAGAGCTTATTTTACTTCACGGTCTTTCATCAATTGCAGGAAGCCTACATTTGAAGTGAAATACTAGTAGTAATAATGACATATTATTTTTTTTCCCTTGGATTCCTAGTAGAATATAGGGCTTCAGTAGGACGCCTCAATTCCACTCTCTTCTCTCCAGTCTTTTTGAACCTGGCACCGCGATGCCCACAAGCTTTTATTTCTTCCTCACACCATCTCCTCCATGTCACCCTCACCTCCGACGCCCAACTCGTCGTTTCCCCTTCGGATTTCACTCGACGCCCCCCTGGCGTATGATGTCTTCGAATGGTTTTTTCAGTGGAAGTGCTTTTTGCGACACGCCAAGTTTCTCAACCGTATAGCAACACTGACTTGAATGGCATTGGTGTTGAAAATCGGATGTTGTTCTTTATGCTGAGTGCAGTAGATCTCCACACTGATTTCAGATTAGTGAAAGCTTGTTTTGCCTCTGTGATCCTGACTGCTTTGATGTCCTCATGAGTGCTGCCTGTAGTTGAAATGATGCTGCGTGGATAGTTGTAGGTGAAGGAGACAACTTCCTTGAAGTTTCTCCCATTAATGGTGAGTCAAGGAAATTCAGGAATAATAATCGCAAACCCTAGTCAGTTTGATGAAAATTAATATCTGATGAGACAGAAAATACTTGAGCTGTAGAGTAAGGGGATACAACAGACAGGAGTGTCAACGAAGGAGCTGGTAAAGAGCTTGAAGGTCACGTACTTGCATGAAAAAACTGGAAGATTGTTTAGTGATTACCGGTCACTAATTAATTAAAGAAGAGATAATGCAGTCAAAAAAGGAAAAGTATGTGCACAAATATGCAAAACACAATTGCCAGGGAAAGGAAAAATTAATTACAGTCTCTTTCTGAATACACATGTCTGGTTGGAAATGTTTTATGGTGACGGCTCACACTATCCGTAATAAACATGGCGTTCATTGTTTGTTGTTGTCCTGAAGAGTCGAGAAACATCTTTTTTGATATCTTGTTTCCATGAAATGCTTCGCGAATGTACTTGAAAAGACCTAGTTACCTATAAGACACATTTTTCTCGAGATAAGCTCATAAAATCAAGTAGACGTCCTTTTTTTAGTCCTTCCTATCTACTTGCTTACAAAAATACAAGGAAATTGATATATTCATTTGGAGGTGACGTGAGCTGGGTATCTGTCTACTTTAGACTGTGTTATTCAGCATACAGTACTGTAAGCTGAGATAAGTCTGTCAGCAAAAAAGATCCATCTCAGTGCAGCTTTTATTCTTCTTCTAATCTGTCAAATGTCCTATCATTTTTGAATGTTTGTCGGAGGAAAACAGGCTTTTCTCAACGTTCGTGCTTGGATCTCTCAAAAAGATTTTCTATTCTCCATAACGAGATTTTTCGTATAAATATCCTTTATAAAGGCGTTCTAAATGATATGGAATTCTTCTCTTTACCTTACGAGCTTAGCGTTCTTATTTCAGTGCAGAGCATCCTGACTAAAGCATCCCTATAGCTGATAGAAAAGAAACTATTGTAATGAAGATACTGAAGTATCCACTTGTCTTTTCTGTAGGTAATGCCATCACATCTCCGTCTTATACTCAGATCCAAAGATGAATCTCTTCTCGCTTCTATATTTCATTTTAAAATTTTTATTT